CGAGGCACATGCGACGTAGGTATCCGGAGACCTTTCTCACCCACCTAACGTCCACCCCAACTCGAGAGCTCGGTAATAGCAATCTCATCGCGAGTCAAAACTAGAGTTACTTCCCATGGAGGCGCGTGTGACCGGACCGATGGGAAACGCCTTGAATCCCAGCCCTTAGTCCACCCCAATACCATGGATTTCGCCCTAGAGATGGATCTCTGTAGCCTCGGACTCTCGTCCGTAGCCTCAAAGTAATCCATTGCACTGATCGGGGACACATAAGTGTCCCCTTCTCTCGCTATTCCAAGATTCCTTGGAACCACGTACCCTTCATAATCCCGGCAGGGATTATTGCCACCAGCTGATCCCGAGCTCCTAAAACATCCGCTCGAGACCAGCACTCAACGCGAACTGTCCTGAAATCTACCAGGGCCTTCTCCCCCTAGTTTGAGCATCTCCGCGACTGTGGGTCATCCGTTACCCCACAGCCACCAATCAACTCGACGGGATCCCGGGGGCGCTAGTCCTTTCATCTAGCCGTTGGTCCCTGGTCTAAGTCGACGGCGCCCTTCGGAAACACCCAGTTGGAACGCCTGTACGTCGGCCCTGAACTCCCTAACACAGCTGGGTGGATTTCCGAATTGGGAAACAGCTATCGTCAGCGCCATCACAGTATTCTGAAACATGGTCTCACCCTACCACGTTTCTTCCCACTCTGTAATTGGTCTAATTTACAATCGGAGCGGCCTGATTGGCCGTCGTCCGATGGTCTATTCATCTTTCGCTCGGTTATTTCAGCCGGCGTTAGATGTCGTTCATTTCACCCAGTTATTTTACTACTGATATTCCCTAGTAACGAGAAAATCTCGTTACAACCTTCGAAAATATCATGCCCAAGACACGGAGGTAAACCAGGAAGACAAACGTGATAAGAATCTAATTGATTGAAAACAGAATTAAATTTGATTCCCTCTATCAATATTTTTTTTTATTCGTCTTCTTTCGTGAACACGAATATTTTTGTTTATTTAATTGGTTTATGACTTTCTTGTACGATTCAAGAGTTCTTAATGGGTAATTTTTAAACGCTCCGTTTACAGTCTCAAAAGATTTTTTTGTAACTAAACAGTATCTGCAAAAGTACTGAGTTTTACTGAAATTCTCAGCGAATCCACCTAGTGCATGACTTCCTAGATTATCGCCAGTAACAAAGACTAGAGAACCTTTTGCAATTTTACCAGGAGATATTTCAATGGCATCAGTCTCAATAGTTTTCAAATCTTTCACTATTCTACCAAAAACTTTGGAATGATCAAATATTTTCTCCTTGCATAATGCAATGAGGTACATCGAGTTGACATGTGATCTTATATCCTCTGGGTAGTTTCCTATGGTTAAGTAAACCGCTAAAATTTTATGTTTAGCTTTTGCAGAACCCAGGGGATTTACAATCTCAAAACTGTTTTGATATAATATCAATTGAATTGCGTTAGGATTATCTTTAAAAAATTTATTATTTTTAAATAAACTCCCATCTGTAAAATCTCTCAACACTCTGCTGTCATTTTTGGGGAGATCAAATACCAATTTATGAGTGAGTGATGTGTTATTGTATAATTGTTCAATAGTTTCTTCCAATGGCACATAATGAAAAAAATTTTTTTTCTTACTACTTGAATTATTGAGAGAGATTTGAATAGGACTGATATAAGGGAAGTGTTTTTCATAGAATTTTTTTTCGTTTGTAAATTGTTCCCAAATTTTCATCAATACTATTGAAAGTTTCATTTAATACATTATCAAGGATATTTTCAATTAATTCTGCTGACAAATTCAGCGCTTGTAAATGCTTTAATAAATTATTCTTAACGAGTTTTTGATTTTGTTCGCTCATTTTACATACTTCACTCGCAATGTACTGAACTGTTGATGCTGGTAAACAAAATTTGAATTCTAAATTAAAAAAAAAATGCGCAAAATTCATCAAAAATATTTCATCTGCATTGTTTTTCTCTTCACAACGGTAGTCATCTCTTTCGTGTTGTGTTTTAGGCAATGCTTCATCAACAGGGTTTTCAATAGTAATGGTAAATAAATCGGAAGAGTGTTGATTATTTTCATCATTTAACTGAGCTGGTTTTGAGAGTTTATCTTTTTTATGGACTTTACATATATGAGAAGAGAATGAATTTGCCAAACGATATTTTTTCTCGCAATTTGGAAAATAACATTTTACATTGATCCCCTGATTTATATGAGCATAGAGATGTTCACTCAATTTTTTAATATCCCGGTACTTTTGAGTACAGTTTTCAACTGTACAATTTATTTCTTGAAAGTGGTCAATATTTGTTGAATCAGAAGGTGGTATATGCTTAGCAAAAGGGATTTTGTGGGTTCGATACATGACTTTGTAAAGATGATAAAGTTGAATATGTCTTTTTACAGTGGTTATATCAAAAGATGAGTTGCTTGGTTAAATTCAAATGTTCTTGTAAATGTTTTATATAAACAGTAAATTCCGAATTATTATAATCACAAAATTATTATAAGATTATTATAAACAAAAAAACATTTTGTTTGTCTATCCTCAACTTTCTTAATAAAATACAAAGCAAGAAAAATCATCAAATATCGGGAGACTTACATTTTAATACCCAAAAATGGAATAAAATTCTTTTTTTTTTCTTTTTCTATGATAATTTAGATTTGTGCGATTCTCTGTCTGCTTAACATCTCAAATCCTGCAACAAAATTGAGTAGATTATTACAATAAATAATTGTCCTCTATTCTCAAATGAAATAATTAGATATTTTACGTTTGAATATTAATCTGTCAGGTTACACATTTTTTTATTCAACTATTGATTTCTACAATTATTGTTGGGTATGAAAAAGTCATTCTTTTATCTTTATCAGTCATCGATTTCATATAGAATAAAAAAAGAGCTGAGGGGGATTCAATTTTTCATGATACTGATTATTGTTTCCCGTCAATATATAGCTGGCTGTGAAAAAAGTCACGGTAACATCATGTATAAGAATATTTCAATTTATTTTTAGTTGAAAATTAAATTCATGGCCTTGATGGATATTTTTTCTCGTTTACGTCGATTTATTCCAAGATCCATTAACATTTATTAAACATTACCGGAAATCGAATTATATAGGGATCATTATTCAATAACTTACCAGTCACATTGTTTTTTTTTTGCGATGAGTGACTGCCCGTATTAATAAATTAGTTTTGTAAGTAATTTTTAACTTGTTCAATCACCATAAACAATAGAAACACATACGATTGAACATTTGTTCAATATCTTGTTTGGCCTGTGCACAAAAATAATAAAAACCCTCAATTTTCTGAAGTATAGACTCAATCCGTATACGTAACACATCACACTGCGCTGTCAGGAACGAGACTGAATATTTCCGAAGTTTTAGCTAGTCCAATTCCCGGAAAACCGCCAAAACAAAACGCAGTCAAAACACACATGCTTCGACACGTTCGACTGGTGTGTTGTTTCACCCAACCTTTCATTTCATCCAATATAATAGTGTTATGATGATATACATGTATGTATAATTGAAATGCATGTCTATATTTATAAAAATCTATATGTGTATATATATATGTATATATATGTATATATATAAATCAATTATAAATGAAAATAATAAATATTATAATAA